ATGCAGTGAGCTGCAAAAACCGTTATTACCTGACGATGGGCTTATGTGAGAGTTCGAAACGTCAGACAAATAAACAACTGGCCTCAGAGAACGCCTTCCCGTCTTCTATTCAATTACCTGGGCCTCGCCTATTTTCGACGATCCAACTAAGTTTAAAGGAAATATAGGTGTGTACTATGGAACTCCTTACTTGCTTATATACATATGTTAATATAAAAATACTACCTCACCTCATTGGTAATGCCAAATGTCACAAGCCCGTGAGATGGGACAGATGAAAATAGAACAAACAGTGAAAAAGTCCTGGGAATTTTTTGGGAGAAGAAACAGTCGCTCATGGGAAGGAAGTATGCTGGATCAAAACGGGGTGCTGATCGTAGAGTTCACGTAGATCCTCGTCAAAGTTTAGAAGATGTGGTCAGATACTTTCTTGCTGATTGGAGAGTTCAGCGCGACAAGGTGGCGAAAACGCAAGTAGCGGCCCACGATTGTTGACCGTCCATTACGGGTTGAACCGAGGTAAATTATTTTACTTGATCCCTTTCAAAAAGAGAAGCTTTTGCTTACGCCTAAAGTTGTAACAGCCGTTGTTCAACCATCAGATGGTTCTAGCCATTAGTCACCACGGAAATTTCACCCATGTGGTCAATAATTCAATCTTCAGACCCCACCATGATTACGCTGCAAATCCGCAGCTTAGATGGTCCCTGTCAGTTCACAAAGAAACTCCCATTCAGCTTTAACGACGCGCGAAATCCCGAGTAAGTGTTTGTACTTGTGTGTCTGAGACTTTGTAGATGCCTTGATACGAGTACTAAACGCCTTGCGAGCGGCTTCTTAAGATATACTGCCGGAGGGACACAATGCAACAGAATTCAGCTGGTAGTTAAGATCTGTAGCTTATGAATTAAATCTGAGAAGGAAACAAAATAAGAGGATAATTTGGTCTACAGAGCTGTACTGTTGTCCCCAGGTTTGAAACTTGTGCTCGAGTCTGTCATCTGATGATAAAAATTACTTGATCAAAGAAGAAGTCTTTTCGAGCACCGTAACAGTTGTTTTATTGTCCCAAGCTTTAAACATCTTACAGGACTTCATCCTCCGAAGTAAAAGCAGCAA